GTGGAGCAGGGGCTCTAGGCACGTGGGCTTCAGTAGTTGTGGCACGCAGCTTCAGTAGTTGTGGCTCACAGGCTCTAGAGAGGAGGCTCAGAGGTTGTGGCGCACGGGCTTAGTTGCGCCATGCATGTGGCATCTTCCCCAACCAGGGCTCAAACCCGTGTCCCCTGCATTGGCGGGCAGGTTCTTAACCACTGTGCCACCAGGGATGTCCCAACATGTATTCTTGAGAGGATCCCACTTTGGATATATTTAGTTTGAGATACTTGTAAGACTTCCTAATGAAGATGTCAAAAAGGCAGTTAGACACAGAATCTGGAGTTCAAGAAGAGATCTAGGCTGGAGATATAAATTTGGGAGTTGGTGGCAAGCATATAGTATTTAAAATCAGTAGGGGATGAAATCATCAAGGGAGGGAATATAGACTGAGTAGAAAGAGGACATTCTCAGGACTGCTTGGCAGGGATTTTTCAGCCTAGGTAATCTCACTGAAAAATGGCTCAGAAATTTCCAACTACAATCTGCCTTCAGTATTTGAGAGTTCCACATTCATAGATTCAAATATTTGAAAAAAAATTCTAGAAAGTTCCAAAAAGCAAAACTTGAATTTGCTGCACAGTGGCAACTATTTACATAGCATTTACATTGTATTTACAACTATTTACATAGCATTTACATTGTATTAGGTATTATAAGTATTCTAGAGAAAGTATACAGGAGGATGTGCATAGGTTATATGTGTGCCATTTTATATAAGGGACTTGAGCATGTGTGGATTTTGATATCTGGGGGAGTGGTTTACTAAGGGACAACTGTATGTAAAAATCCATGCCCCAGATCCCAACATTCTTTGTCCTCAAAGAGCTAACAGTTTGACACATGAAAATAGGATGAATAACATAAAAAACAGTTAATACTATAAGCATTAAGTTTACACTGTATTTACTGTGTGTCAGGCACAATGCTCAGTGCTTTATATGGATTATTACATTTAATCTTCACCTTAACCATATAAGAGAGGTAATATCATTCTATTGTTTTCATATGAGGAAACTGAGTCTTAGAGGATATAGATAATTTGTTCAAGATCTCACAGCTAGTAAAGAGTGAGGCTGAGGTTCACACCCTAGTGCTCTATCTGCATCGCCTTTCATTTTAGTGGCTGTTGTATCCTGCCTAAAGTCCAGGACAAGGACAAAAAAGCCTATAATGGTGCTCTAGATTCCTCTTGACAGGCTAAAACAGCCAAACCAATACACACACACACACACACGCACACACACACACACACACACACATACACATACACATACACAATTTGTAGCTGAAAATTTAAAGGATTGGAGAAAATTGTATTCCTCAGAATGACTGCCCCTCACTTCCTGGGGGTGCCACCCTTTGGAGAGGGGCCCCAGAAACTCTGGTGTGATGGAGGGTGTGCTACAGGGCAGTAAACCCAAGTTTCCAAGGACCACGGTCCAACTATAGGCAGTGGAGAGGATATTCTGGCTCCAAAGAGAACCAACTTCTCCTGGATTCTGAAACCAGCCCTGTTTTTAAGAATATATCTTTCCTGAAATTTCCTTCTTTTGGCTTGCTGTTATTTGCAACTTTTACAAGCTACTGAACCACATCACTGGTGTGAACAGTTTCAAAGCTTACATATTTCTTCTTGTAATCACTTTAGTCGATCTTGTAACTATAAAGAGTGAGATGGTAAATCCTGAGTTCCCATTCTGAGTCAGAATTTATGACAAGAACAACGTGCTTGTGCCCAAACAGAACCATGCATGTATGGTAATATGGCACTTGAAATTTATGTACTTCCTTTTATCCAAGGAACAGAAAGTGCTTCGATAAAATGCATTAAGAGCCAACTGTCTTCAGCAGGCGATAAGAACAGTTCAAAATAGGACTGCTGAGGGAATCATTTAATTTCTGCAAGGCCAGGGTTCATGCTAAACAAGCATGTTTCCCAATGTTTTACGGAAGTGGTTCCAGGAGACCACTGCCATTTCAACCCCTGCTCAGCAGTGATGAAGTTAATTGCATCTTTGCCCACCAGTTGTGTAACTGAAGACATCCCTTCATCACTGCTGTTTGGTGCTGGTTGCCGTACAGGACAAGCTCTTGGTATTTGCTGAGGAGATTACGAGCAGAATGGATCCTAGTCATTCCTTTCTACCGACTAGTTAGTTCTTCTCCTTAGCAAGGGCAACTTTCTGATTTTCTTTGCTCGTTTTAAAAACTAGTCCTGTAAATAAGGCCCCTTTAATTTACAACCCCACTATAAAAAAAAATGGCTTCTATATATTGCATACTTTAAGATGGCCATGGTGCAATAGGTCCTTGTATCCGTTACCTATTGCTGCAGCCTGACAAATTACCCAAAATGGAGTGCCTTAAAACATTCGTTATCTCCCAGTTTCTGTGGATCAGGAGTCCTGGTGTGGCTTGACTGGGTCCTCAGCTTTAGGGTCTCTCACAAAGCTGAAGTCAAGGTGTTACCCAGGGCTGTGGTCAAATCAAGGCTTGACGAGGGGAGAAGTACTTTCATTCGTGTGGGTTTTGGCAGGATTCAGTTCCTCGTGGGCTGTTGGACTAAGGCCTTAGTTCCTCACAAGCTCTTGATCGAAGGTTTACCTCAGTCCCTCTACACATGAGCGTCTCACAGGCGAGGGGTTGAGGAAGGTGCCAGCAAGAGAGAGTGCTAGCAAGATGGAAGTCAGCCCTTTGTAACCTAATCACAGAAGTGACATCCCATCACCTCTTATTCTAGTAGTTCTGTTAAGCTACCAATTCATGCTTAAGGATGGGGGATTACACAGGGCATTAAAACCTGGGGGGTGAGGGTCATTGCAAGCCGTTTGAGAAGGCTGAGTACCGCAGTCCTTCACATACCTTGTCTCACTTTATCCTCATAAGAATTCTCCAGTGCATTGCTGGTTCCTCCCATTTTATAGAAGAGGCATCAAGTTCTCCGTCTCTCCTGCTTGCACCTACTGACATTGAAATTCATCTTTAGTGACTCATAGTGTTCACTCATTTATGTATTTATTTCATGAATATGTAGAATTAAAAGATATTAGGCGTGCTACTGCGCTAGGTGCTGGTGAGTCTGTATTCTTGGTAGAATATAGGTGTGTACAAGCATTCTAATAGTTCTTAAACAACTGTTCCTTAAGGAGAGGAACTGTTCATAGTGTATGTCATGGTGCCTAATATACTGAGTTATAGCAGTAGTAGATATTCATAAGAATTATCAATCTATTAAAAGTTGTTTTCAAATATATAACTGGGAGCACTTTTCTGGTTTTTGAGTGTCTAGGACCCAGTCACTCCTATTTCAGAGTTGAAACACAGATGAGTAGTGGTTATGATACGAACAACGCCCCAGAAACTGAAATGGAGAATTTCATTCCAGGGCTTATTTATAGCCAACCTCAAGGTACAAACTACATGGGAAAAACCGGCATGTAACTTGAGTTAGCTCCACACTAAATGCGTTAGTATCCACCCCAAGGCTCGTCACTGTATCGCTGGTGAGATAAAGTACAGAAATAATTTTATAAATTGAAAAATGTCTATAAACATAAGAGATGAATCTTTAAAATTGTTAGTGCTCCTGCTACCTTAACTCAGGGAGCCTACAATGTGCCAAGCACTGTGTGAATTGCCTCTTAGAATGTTACTCATTTAATCCTCGTCACCACTACTGTGAAAAACAAAGTCAGAGCTGGCGGTCACTGGTAGTACAAAAGGGGTTCGGCTCTGGGGTGTGTGAGTCTTTGGTGACCCGAGAGGAAGAGCTACAAGTGAAACCATCCGTATTGACATAGTGAAATCCTAGAGTTTATGGAAGTGGGGTTGGGCCCCATCACCATGCCCCACACAGAAACAGATCAGTGCAAGCATGCTTTTCCTTTTTAGAAAGATACAATGCCTTCTGAGACAATGGAAGATACTCTGGGATTTGAAAGTCAGTGAGAGGAATTACTGGTGTAGAGTATTTCTTGACTAACAAAAAGGTAGGAGTTCTTCGGGGAGCCATCATTTGGCAGACTAGATGTAGCCTAGAGACAGTGATATGGTCATCTTCAATCTATGCAGTTACGCTGAGGCTAAAAGCAAAGACAAGCCCAGTTTAATAAAACTCAACAGCAGGCATCTAGAGAATCAATAAACGTTGGTTGATGCCCACAGGGCAACTTGAAAGCAAAGCTATGCCAACTGGAAGACCTTTTGTAGATAGTTATTTTTGAACAACAATCTAAGATGTGTAAAAGCAGAAATAGAAATGACTGATGGCAGGAACCCTGACTTGTGCCTTGAAATCATTAGTATGCTGTGGTTGATTTGCAGCTTTTTATGGTGTGGTCAAGAGGTCCCCATGATTCAGTACCTCTTTTTCCTACCACCTGCCTCTCTTAGAAAGAAACAATGCTAAAATATTCTGTAGAACCAGTATTCTGAGTAGCAGCCTCTATAGCAACAGAGCAGGTAGGAGGTAGCTGCTATAGTTTCTTTTACTTTTTTCCTCCGAATATCCAGATTTCTAAGTGTCAAAAAAAGCACAAACACCAAAAACCTCATTAGAATTTTGGATTAAAGAAAGCTATCTGTCTTGTCTCATTTTTGATATGCTAGTTGATAATCGGGCTACAGCTGAGTCTAAAAATAACATACAGTACATTAAAATATTATTCTTTGGCTATATTTCCAAAGTGGTATTCTGGGACTTCTGTGCATTAATCCTGTAACAATAACAGGATTTGCGCTCTTCACTCCCCTGGTGTGGCTTTGAAAATCTAGCCTAAAGCAGCTAATGTTGCTGTTTAAATCATCCTCTCACTATCCTTAGGGAAATGTGGAGGTTAAAAAAATGACAACCCAACTGCTCAAATGACCTATACCTGGGAGAATAAGAGAAACAACGTATTTCTTCTCAGGAACTGGACTGATATTTCCAAGGTGGACATATGATGTTTCCCAGTGGCAAGAGAGATGGTGCGGTCGCTGAATAACTGGAATTCAACTGAGGTGCAGGTGTGTGAGCCTGTGTGTGTGTGTGTGTGTGTGTGTGTGTGTGTGTGTGTAGGGAAGGAAGGGGAAGGAAGCTGTCATTACTGTGTATGTTTCTGGTAAACATTCTTTTTTCCCTACAGAAATTTGGGCGTATCCCATAAATTAGGTACTGTTAATCGTGTCAGGTAAAAAAAAAAAAAATGCATATCCTAAAATTTGCACACAGCTCTAAATTGAAGCTCTAACTGGCTCTAAATTGAAGTGGCAGGAGTTTTTCAATGATACCATTAATCGCATTTTATTAATTGAGAAGAAGAGCTTTTGTGTAGCCATGGTTGTATGGGCTAGATTTAACCAGTGTAGGTACCACTGATAGGCTGCCACTGCTTTTGGCCTGCAATGCCTTTGAAATTCTAAAATGGAAAAGGAGGCCAACACACTGAGCAATTATTTCAGAACAGATTGCCCGTTAACATTTCATAATATCACTGAAATACATCCTTTCTGGGACAGAGACTTGCTTTGGCTATGAACATCCAAGAGGTGGCAGCACCCCATGTGCTGTTGGCCGTTGCATCCCTCCAGACAGAGCTCACCGCAGAGGTCTCATGATTGCGTCACCTGAAAGCCAGTTTGCAGGGTTGGGGTGAGGGGAGGATGGAGGGGATATATAGCATTTTGCGTCTCAGTTCTTCCGGAGAGTTGAGGAAACAGCTGCACGGATTGTTTTAAATGGATTTGAAAACGTTTTCCTTTTCTTTCTTTTTTTTTTTGTCCTGAAATCTTCGGCCCTATGTGATATCTTTCTATGAAGACCACATGGGTGCACTTAGGGGTTTCCTGGTTTGCTCCCTGAAGGAGGAAGAGTTTTAATTGTCAGGGATCCCCTGAGACCTCATTTTCAATTGCCTGTACTTGTCTTCATAAACACAGGAAGGTGGGATTAAGACAGATCATCAACAGTCATTCTTTGGAGCATGTGTTTGTGCACGGCACTTAACACAGCATTGAGAGTGTGACACTGTCCCCGGCTAGAACACTTCTCTTCCTCCCCAACTGTTCTCCCAGCCACCTCCCTCATCTCGTGCTAAAAATACTCCACGGAACAAATAGCTATCAAGATAGCATGAAAACCTGCACAAATGAGTAACAATGTAGCCTGACATGCTAAGTGTCAAATGCCCGGGATGAAAAGCATCAGGTGACATGGGTAAGAGAGCATCAGGGCTGGTCTAGGCTGGCCAATGTCCAGGTAGCTGTAGAACCTGGCCCTTTGCATGTGTATTAGTTTGAAGGCAAGAGCTGGGATGCACTGGGGGCACTTTGCTGATGGGATTTGTTGGCAGGATACAGGAGACAGGACTCTTATGGGAAACTAGTCTTCAGGAGGCCACAGGGAAGATGAAACTGGGGAGTCCAGCACAGCTCAGCCATGGGAGTTCCTATCCCCACTGTTTCTATCATAGGGACTTGGCTTCTGTGTTCACCACAACTGGAGCCACCGACTTGGCCTAGCTTTCAGCTTTCAGCTTTCAGCTCTGTGCATCTTTTCAGTAGCTCATTCCTTAGTTTAGCACTCTCACACCCTCTGTCCCATAGCTTTCCTACATGGCGTGTGTTCTCCGTATACATCTTTTCAGCTTCTGTTCCCACTGACAACTCAATGACCATCTTCCCTGTATTTCCCAATCATTTCCAAAAGGAGAAAGGTAGGGAGGGGGGGAGAGAGAAAGAGGGAGAGAGAGAAGGAGGGAGAAAGAGAGTCTCATTGGCTTAATTACATAGTCCCTGTCTAGATTGAGCTTTGGAGGCCTAACCACCTCCCAGCAAATGGGCCAGACTGTGATTGGCAGTCCTTGAGTCACCTTTATTAAAGACTTAAAGACGTGTTCTGGGTGCTCCCCAGCCTGGACAGTGGGCACAGGTGTTCCTTTCAGGAGGGCTGTGGATGTGAAAGGCGCTGACTGATATTTTGCCCCTTTCTCCACACAAAGGAAGGAGCAGCATTGTTCACTCAGGCTCAGTAATGCTGGATGTCCTGGTGTCAGGGTACCGCTGCCCTGGTGGGTTGCTCAAACTCTAGTAAAAGATGAACTCTTCACCTCTTTTCTTCTTTGCAGGAATTCAGTCATGCAGCTTGAAGAATGATCTTAAGGGTGGTACGTTACACTCAACCTTCAATGATTTCAGAGACTTGGAGAAAGGGGAACAGGACCTATATTTGAACCATGATGTCATGCAGTTATGTACAGCACAGGTTTGTTTGGGTCAGGCTGGGGGAGGGGAGTGGTTGGATTAGGTACCAGTCTCCTTGTTATAATCAAGTTTTCCTTACTAAGGTCTGACGTATTTTAATCCAAAGACCTCGAATGCCACCTCTAGGTGCCATACCATATGCAGCAATGAGCAACTTACCTGTTGCCCATTGAGTTGGCAGCATCCCTGATTGTTACAGCCAAGCCATCTGGAGCAGGGATGAGGGGTGGGCACACAGGATAGGATGGCCAGACAGCTGCTGCAGTTTATTGGCCTCTAGTCCTTCACTGTTACACTGAGGGCATGAGCCGAAATGAGGCAGACCCCATGAGGCAGCTTGTTTGCTTTTGGTTACTTCCATTTGAGCCACCAAGAACTTGAGGAGCTCTTTCTTCTTCTGCTGTGTGCCTTGAGAGCCTCAACATCCCCTCCGTCTCTTCCAGTTGTAGTCAGTCTCAGCTCTAAGTATTGATGGGAGTATATTAACTATATCACTAATTAGGTTGAAGTTCCTTGAAAGGAAGAAGGGACCTCTATACTTGTAAAAGCATCTCCTGTAATGTCAAACATAGTCTTATACAAGGAATGGGCACTTAATAGATACTTGTTAAGTTGTTTTGACTCAATCTCAATTCCATGTTCAGCTCAGGAGATTTCTTATTAGGTTCCAAGGGGTCTAGATCCTTTCCAGTTATTCGTTTGGAAACCTGAAGGTACAGATTCATTTTGACCAATGTTCCAACTTCCACCTTCCTTGATCACTTCAGGAAGAAGAGCACCCTAGATACTGAGTTTTCCAGCACTCAGAATGCTAGGCCTCCAATGGGGTTAAAAATGTCCCGGAGTCTTCAGCTTTTGACTTATTCCTTTTTCATTTTCCTCTTAGTTAACTTCCTCCTTCACCGAACAATTCTCCTCTCCTAGTAAGATAGGTGAAGTTATGCTGTGGTAAGGATAGCTTCCAAAACTCAGGAAAGATTCTGCCTGTCAGAGTGACTCTGGGACCCAATGGCAGATAGTCCGTCATCCCAGACTGTCTGCTGGGGAATCACTGCAGCAGGGGGAGCGAGAATGGGTAATTGTGCACTAGCTCTTAACTAAGTCTCCCACCCAAAGGTGACACACTTTACATCTGATCGTATTTCCTTGGCCAAAGTATGTCGCATGGCCATGCTTATCTTCAAGGGGATGGAGAAGTGCAATCCTTCCTTATCCCTGCAAGAGAAGAGAACCAGAAATACTGGCGACCTCCACAATGACCTTCACACCTCTTCAGAGAGCTTGGAAGTTACCACCTTACAGTTCATTCTTTAGCGAGGCATGGAACCCTTGAGAATAAGCAGAAACGCTTTGTTTTTTGGGTTTCACAGGAATTAAAAATCAAAATAAACCCATAATAAAGGTGATTTATATCAATAATTTTAAAATATTTATTATGTAAGTATCAGGATTTTTGGGGGGTCAAATCAGTGATCAGAAGTAATCAGTGCAATCCCTTTTGAATGCCATCTGTAAATAGAGGTTTGAGGTATGCAATCCTATGTGTTTATAGTTGCCAGGCCTGTTTTTGTTTCTGATGCTTCTATACCTTACAGTCACTTGAAGGCCCAACAGCTCAAAGACTCCTCCACAGAGCACAGTCACTTTGAACTCATGGGCCGTGAAGATCCACTCTTTAGTTCTGCCCTGTGCCTGATTCGACTCTGCTGGTTGCAAAGCAAGACCCCAGGTTTTTCAAAAGCAGGCAGGGAGCTGACCTACTCACTTAGTTGTCCTATGTTCCTCACTCACTCAATAATTCCCCTCCCTCCAAAGAATTAATTCTAACCGTTAAGTACGATAAGTTTATTCACCAATGTAATGAGTTTGGTATTCAGCTCTCTTTTAATCCAAGTCAATGGACTATTACTATGACATGCCAGATAGAAGCCAACCATGGTGTGATTGAAAGAGTCTTTGTATTAGAGTCTGAAGATTGTCAGTCCCAGTTCTGTCACGTTCTAGCTGTGTTACCTTGGAAAAGTCACTTTGCCTCTCTGAACCTTCATTGGTGAGATTAGGATAGTTACATTTACCTTCCAGGATGGAGTTTCCTCTCTATAAAATGTAAATTATATCTACCTCTCAGTGTTGTGGGGATTTAAATTATTTTGACAAAGATAATTTCTGGGAAATATATATGTATAAGTATGTATATCCCAAGCTGGAAACTTCTTCCCTCCTTTTTTGCTTGCTAATTAAGAGTCATAAATAAAATGCTGACGAGCTGCAGTCTGCCGTCTGTGCTGTAGCTGGAGGGCTGTTTTGACTTTGCCTGACAAATGGCTAACCAGCCGCTCCCACCATGCCCAACTCAAGTGTTCAGCACTGAGAAATCCAGCTACTGCCAAAAGCATCTTATAAACTTGTCACTGTTTACTTACTTGGTGACAGTGTTTTTGTTCACTGATCATCCCTGAGATTTCACCCATCAGGGTGTGTCTGTTTCCCTCAAAATGCCATTTAAACACAATCATTTCCCAAACCACATGAAAATAGCAAAGATCCCTATATGAGACTTGGTGCCTTTGCAATTCATCCCCATTGCAATGCAGTTGGGGTGGGATGTTATCTTCACAAAGCAGTAGCCGGATATGCATGGGACTTTATTAAATGGGCAGAAACTTCAAAGCTGCTTCAGTATACTACTAGCCAAGACTTCCAGGTAACCAGTTGAGTGATAAGCTTCTACCAACTTGGGAGAATGATTGCTAAATTTTCAGGAATTTTGCAAGGTGGTTGATGTCATGTTGGTAAATTGAAAGCAGCCGTGGTGGGAGTGTTTACACCATGAAAATTGGCAAACACTTACAAAATCAGGCTTTTTCTCCCAGAGAGCTGGTCGCTAAACATTTATAAGCTCAGTATACAGTATAACCAAGTCTTTGTGCACCTGGGTCAAACCCAGATGTAACCAAGGATGGGAAAAGGGACATGGCAAATCCGAACTATGAATGAAACCGTGGTGCTGAGGTAAGGGAGAAAGGGAGCTAACTTTCATTGAGCCCATGCTGTGTGCCAGGGTCGACTGTAACCTAGATTGGGATGGATACATATCAGGAGGCATTTAGCACATTAAAGAGATGGACCTGCCAAAAGTGTGTTCAGATGAAGAATAGAGAGATTTCCAGAGCCTGACTCAAACCTGGTCGTGAGAGAGGAGGGACAACGTGAAGTATAGCATTGTGCTTTTCACTCGGGTTTCTATCCAGGCCCAGGCTGAGACTGGTGGAGGCTGGGTCAGGGAAAGGCTTGAAGTAAAATCTGAAAAGGCTGTTTCAGCAATACTCTGTAGTAGCAGGCAGCATGTTTGGATTTGCCATCATGTTTGTTCCAGGACCTCACCTGCAGCAGTGTGGAGACAGCAGAGGCTTAGCTAACCCCCTGGAGCTTAGTGAGGTGGGCTCACTGGTGAGCACTTTTTCAAGAAGACTTTGCAGAGTGCCATGGTGCTATATGAGCAGATAGGGAGGGGCAAGGGCCAGTAGAATTTATTTATGTGACCCTCGTATGTACCTTAGCTGATAAGGCAAGGGGGAAACTGGTGGCACATGTATTTTCTCCATGTGTTTTCACAACAACTGTGTGAGAAAGGCATTATTATATGCATCTTATAGATGAAGAAACTAAGGGTCAGAGAGCCTGAGCAACTTGCCTGATATGATGCAGAAAGTAAGTGGAAGAGCTGAGATCCAAACATGGGATTGTCTGACTTCAAATACTCTTGGGGCCTCTATGACCTCCTTTTACCCTGTGTCTCTGCATATTCTTCTGTCCTTTCCTTCTTTCTGGTCTTGGGGAAAGAATTGTCTCTCCTCTCTCTAAGGTCAACATTTTCACTTGTGTCCACGAATTCTGCACCCTCCCAGTTCCTGCTCTAGAGTCTTTATAAAGCACCCCCTTGCTCTGTGATGCATCTTTGATCTGTCCCTCACCACAGACTTCTTTCCATCTGTCACCTGAAGTGAGTGGCTGTATGGGTTCCTTTCTCAGTCTTCTCTCCCTTAGCCTTTCAGCAGCATTGAACACAGTCCAGATTCTTCTTTATTCTTGAAACTCTCCACATGCAGCTTCTATGACTTGTTTGTCCCTCTCTGGTTACTCCTCTGGCCACTTTTGGCTCTCCTCCCTTTTTTCTAATCCTTGAACTGTAGGCGTTACTCCAAGAGTCTGGTGCTGATTCTCTTCCTCTTCTTCAGTCTTTCCCCTTTGAGGTTCCCTTTGGCCTCAGCTCTCTATGCAGACAATCCCAAACCAATAATGCACAGGTCTGATGGGGAAACGAATGGAATTAACTTGACTGGGTCTCTAGGGCCAAGAGCAGTCTCTGGCATAGAGTGAGCACTCAATAAACAAATGGATTTCAGATGAAGAGAACATTGTGAACAGGGCTTGAGCGTATGTGTATTGATTTATTTGAAGGTTACCCCCTTCAGGCTCTGAATTCATCAAAGTCAGGAACTGTGCCTTTTCCCCATTTTTGATTCCCTGATCCAGCATAACACATAATAGCTGTTCAATAAATGTCTGTTGACTGAATGAATGAGTCCACGCTTGCTGATAACTCAGTGCAGAACTGTGGCAGTTCTTATACAGGAATTTAGACTTTATTTTGTGTGCAGTGGGCTTGGAGCCATCCAAGGCTTTTTCTCATTTGAGTAACTCATTCGGAGCCGAGCTCCAGGATGACTCATCTGGCTGCAGTCAGTGTTCAAAACCTTGCACCATCTTCTTCCCTTGCCTATTTCCTTCCCTATTCTATCTCTAATCAGTGGTCCAATCTTGTTGATTTTACTTCAAAATATGGCTTTATGGCTTGTATCTCTGTTTTTGTTTCTATTCTCGTGGCCACCTCCCAAGGTCAGCCCTAATTACCTCTTGTCTGGGCGTCAGTGCCGGTGTCCCTCCCACTCCAATCACTGCTCTGTATGCCATAGGCTTCCGCTATGCTACTAATGGCTGGCTTCGTGTTTGAAAAAAAAGAAAAAAGAACAAAGCCAAATTGGTTCTGGAAAAGCAAGGATAAAGAGGGCTAATATAACTCCATTTTCTGCCTTTAATCCTGTCGGCCCTTTAAATCTGCTTGCTGCTCTGGGTTTTACCCTTGAGTTGCCTGAGTGGGTTTATCCCTTCATTGTTTCTTATAACAAAGACTGGGATCCCATCCCCACAATAGAGCCAAGTTGTAGGAGAAAGAGAGTAGACCATTTGAAAGGTTGCGCTTAACTGTGATGTGGAAGAAAGCAAGGGAAATGGAAGAACAATCCTTTAGGAAAGAGAGGACAAGGGAAGGGGAAAGGTAAGAGATGGGGAGAAGGTCTTTGAGATAATATTTCTAGATGAAGGGAAGGAAAAAGAGGGAGAGAAGACAAGAGCTGAGCTTCTGCCATTTTTTTCATAGCTAATTTTGGGGAAACAGGCCCTTTCTGAAAATGCTTTCTTAGAACCTTGTGGATCCAGAATTTATCCTGATAAAACAGTGAGCTAATGGACTTTAGGGCACCTCTTTGGGGACACCTACACTTAAAACATTTAGGTCAGTGTTATGCCAAGTGTGACCTGCTTTCTGCAAGGAGTTAAGTCCAAAAATGACAAGTAAGTACTTAGAAACTTTTCAGTCATTGTGCACTGCCACCGTGATGGGCTGGAGGTGGGTGATACCGGCTGGAGAGAGCCGATTGTGGGCGTTTCTTCCCATCTCTGTGGCTCAGTGACTTCAAGTCGGTAGCTTGAAATCAGTCATGGCCGGAGGTATTTTCATCTTGCAAATGGGCAAATGGTACAAATCAGGACTCCTCCTACATCCCACCCCACCACCCTGGGTGCTGTTCATTGCCAGCCCACCACTGCCTGGCTGCCGTATCCACACACCTGATCAGGGGACACTGTTGAATAGAATGTTGTTAAATTTACACAGTGAGTTGCTTGTGGCTGCTACTGCCTATTCAGCAAGCACAGTAAGATGGTGTATCTGTCAGCCAAGGAATGGGGGGATGGTGGTTCTTCACCATAGGGAATTTGAAATGCACTGCCTTAGATCATCCTCAGCTTGTTCAAGCATTCCAACAGAGGTCTGCATGATACAAATGGAAGAGCCCACAGGTTTGGAAACCTGCTACTCCAGGTTTCAAGCCCTCTAAGATAGTTAGGATCCAAGGGAGCGTAGGGGAGGGGTGGCAGATCCTGCCAGGGCAGAGAAGTTATACATGAAATAGATGGAGGTGTGTGTAATTAGCCTACTAGGGCTGCCAGAACAAAATACCACAGCCTGGGTAGCTTAAACAACAGAAATGTGTTCTCTCACAGTCCTGGAGGCTGGAAGCCCAAGATAAAAGTGTTGACAGGTTTGGTTTCTCCTGAGGCCTCTCCCCTTGGCTTGCAGATTGCTGCCTTTTTGTCATGTCCTCACATGGTCTTTCCTCTGTGCTTGAGCATCTCTGGTGTCTCTTTCTTATAAGGACATTGGATTAAGGTCCCACCCGTATGACCTTATTTAACCTGAATTACTTCTTTTAACGCCCTACCTCTAAATATACTGACACTGGAGGTTAGGGGTTCAGCTCATGAGTTTCAGGGGACACACTTCAGTCTGTAATAGTGTCACTGTTGACTGTGGGCCCATGCTGCATTCCAGTCGAGCACCGTGTAATGGCACAGAACTGTGGAGACCTCGTACCCACTCCAGGGATACCTTCTCACTCCTCCTGGATGCCGCTTCCACTTCCCAGCAATCTCCAGCCTCACCAAGGGCTACCCCTCTCTCAGTTCCCACCTCAAGTCCCATGCCTCCAATCTAGTCTTCTCTGACTCCTGCTTGGAGAGAAGTCTCCCTCACCTGACTCACCCTAGCACTTTTGCTCTGTATTGTTAAGTTGGTAATGAATCTCATCAAGATTTGCAATGCCTTTCCTGATATCATTACACGTATCATTACATGCAATCAATACATTGCATGTATTTAGGGCTTGTCTACCCAGCTGGATTGTAGGTACCTTGAGAAACGGACATCTTACTCTTCTTGAGACCCAACCTCCTCCACTGAGTGATTAATTAGCTGCGTGCCTTGTATAGAGTAAGAAGTCAATAAATGTCACAGAGTTGATGTACCTCTTCCTGAAACAGTTAAGGTTATTATATGCTCAGAGGTGTATGTGGAATCAAACTCATAGTGGTAAGTACTGAGGCTTTTTCCCCTTTATTGTGGATGGCAAGCCAGAATTTTCTAGTAAATGACCATTCGTGGATGCTATTGTCCCAGTGAGTTTTTATGACTTTTCACTCTGACTCTGGTATAAAAGAGACCTGGATTTGAGTTCTGGTTTTCCCAGTTACTGCTGTCTGGCCTTGAGGAAGTTATCTAAACTCTGTAAGGCTCAGTTCCTTCATCTGAAAAATAGGAGTAATAATAATACCTTATTTCACAGAGTGGTGGTACAGGATTAAAATAGGAATAGTAGCACTAAGTGGGTAGTCGATGTTCAGCACTAATATTACTCTGGTACACAGAGGTTAAAAAAAAGAAAAACAAAAAAACGTAGAACTCTTAACCATACATATCAGCCTCCACTCTTCAGAACCAGGAGTAACTTGAAAAGAAAAGCACTTGCACACCATCAGAGGATCAGCCGTGCAAATAGCCCATTTAGTGCCCGATGCCAAGTGCTCCTGGATTAAGAATACTGTGAAGAATCCAGAAGGAACACTTTCCTATCCGTGAGGAGGTGGCTTCTAAACAATCCTTGGCCTCACATTGTCGTCAACCCCCTTCCCAAGTCCCACTTCTCTTTGTAAAGCATAAAACATTTTTACCTCTAAAACCCTGTATGTGTATGGAGTTTTGTCATTCTGGAGGCGGTCAGGTTGCATGGGAAGTACAACCTCATTAACTGGAAATAAATCAGCATGACATTTGTCCTGAAGTTAAGGATCAAATAAAGTTAAACCATATTCAATGTTTTCTCAGAGATATTCAAGAAAAACAACTTTAGTGGAAGAAGAGAAAAACTATTCAGGGACACACACACAAAAAAACCCATAGTCTCACTAGAACTTCTAAATGCTCCAGAGCAAGCTTAGGCAGAGATGCTCCTGCAGGGAGAGCAAGAGGGAGGTGAGTGGGAAGACAGTGCAATCCTGTGCTTCTCTAGGGCTGCCGATGCGAAGCAGAGGCCTCCGAAAAGGCTCAAAGTGGCTCGTCAGCTTTTCAGTATGTCTAACAAGTTAGACATACATCCCGAAATGTATACTGTGATGTTAAAGCCCATTTATATACGCTATAAAGTTTCCCCTGTGTGTCCTGCAGGCACATGCATGGCTGGGAAGTGTCTATGGGTTGATTCCTTTGAGAATTATATGGAGCTGACACGGCCGAAACCCACAATGACCCAGACGAGGACAGAAGTTTGTCCTGAAAGAGTGGCTTCCACCCCTATGTGTAAGTAATTAATATTAATCCCCACTGAGCAGAGTGGTACAAAATTATTAAGGCTGCTTCCTGAAGAAACTTCTAATGCAGTGTGTAATGAAAATGTCAGGTGCAATGAGTTATTAGGCGCTGCCCCGCTGTTGTGAAGTGCCAGGTATTTCTCTACCTGTTATCCAAGCATCTGGGTCTTGTGGGGAAGGCAGTTCCAGCCTGAGGAGAGCATCAGCAGTTATTTGAGCTGAGAGGATCATAAAGTGACGACAGTGAAGCCAGGAGGAAGTGCCTGAGGAAACGGTGGGATGTCTGTGGTTGAGGTGACGTGAAGAGGGGAGTGTGGTGAAGGAGGGCCCTGCCTGGTGTACGACGCTGAGTAATGTCATGACCAAAATCATCTGGCCCTGTGGATTTAAAAATTGTTCTCAGGGCAGCTCAGGAATTCACATGGGATCATTGCAGAAAGAAATATGTTTTTGGTTATTTCTGTAGTCATTCTAGAAATGCAAGCTCAGTGTTTGGCATTTATTTACGTTTATTATTTATTTTGGACCTCATAGACGTTTGCGTCTCTCCGACCTGTGTGATGCTTATCTCAACCAGATTCTTGGGGTCTCTCTGGCTTCTCTTCTTCCCTCAGTCATGTCCAGTCATTGCCAAATGGCTCTGAACAAGTTAAATCTTTCTTAGTCTCCATTTCCTTGGGTTCTACCTTTGTTGTGTCCCTCATAGTCTGTCACGTTTTCTCTTTGCAGCTCTCCTTGCCTGTACTTTGTCTTGTCTGGGCTCTCTACCTCCTACCTGGACCTCTCTGGTCTCCCTCCTCCCATCTTTTCCCCTTTGACCTTCCTACCCAGAGCACAGCAGGAGGACAGCTAACACCATTTGCTAGGTGCTTTTCCTGTGCCAAGCCCTGGGCTGTGGATGTTACGTATGTTATTTCTAATGTTTCAGTAACCCTGGCAATGGTATTATTACTTCCATTGTTCAGCTTGGGAGGCTCCAAAAAGGTCATAATGTGCTCACACCAGCTCTGAGGGATAGCTAGAATTATAACCTAGGGCTGATGGACCCCACAGTTCATGCTGTACCCTACTCGTGCTGCTTTCTCTGCTCAGAAGTCTTCAGTGGCTCCCATTGCCTAATTAGTAAATCAAGTCCAGGTTCTCTCTCTCTCTTTTTCTTTTTTCTTTCAAAGTCCAGGCTCTTTTATCTCAGCATTCAGGGCTCTCTAAAATCTAGTTTACTATGTTTGTCGGCTCTCCCATCAACTCCTGTCACACACTCTACAATTTAGCCAAAAAAACCAAACAGCCAAACAAACAAAAAGCCTATTTTTATTTACACCCATACTTTCTTTCCTAAGTGCTTTTATACATGCTTTTTCTTCTGCCTGCTGCAGAGACTCTGTCATTCCTTCCTCTGTATAAGTAAATGTTGCCCAAGAAAACATTGAACAGAGTTGGGCTAGAGATCCATTTATTTTCTGGTTCACAAAGGGTATGTTGGATCTTTATTAAATAGTCTAAAATGTTCTTTCAATAATGTTTTTCTTTAATATCTTTTTAAAAGACATTTAAAGTGAATCAGAAAGCAATTAAATGATTAATTGCTGCAGCCGGATCCTGCTGCCCTCAGCCTCTGTGGATGCTATCTGACCGATTAACCTCTGTTTCTGAGCTCTGTCTGATTGAAGAAGGCAATGACGGAAAATGCTTGGCCTATCACATGACTGATCTCTGCTGTCATGAGCCATCGTTTTCTAACTGCAAGCTTTCATTTTCAAAGTCCTGGCATGATTTCAGGAGCTGTAAACCCTCATGTGAGTAAGTGAGCAGTGAGAACTGGCAGTTTTTCAATCTCAAGTCTCTTCAGCTTTAAACCTACATTTAGCTGTGATTTTTTTTTCCACCTTAAGTTGTGCATTCTTTTTGGTGTGTACTTTTTTGATAAATAAAATAGGGTGGAGGTGAATTCGACTAAAACAAATATGAGTTGGTCCAATTAGGGCTGACCCTAGAAAAAAGTCACAGGTGCCCCAACGTTAATTCCATAGTCAGAGCAGGAGGTGAGAGAGGAATAGTGAGTATATGGGGTTCCCAGTTTCTCTTCTACAATGACGGACACAGGGTAGAGAGCACTGAAAATGAACCTGAAAATTATGAATCCATTGGTGGAGATGACCCACATGCCAGTTTGAACAGATGTTGCTTCTGATGTCTTGGGGAAGGTCAAGGAGTATCTTCTCCAAGGTCTAACTCTGAATGGAAGAGCTTTGTGAGATATCAGGGAAGGATATATCATTGGAAAGATTCCTTTCCTAGTTACAATGTTTAAGTAATTGGGGTTCAATTTAATGCAGAATTAATTGTCCTTAGTGTATTCTTAGCTGGACAATTCGATTAATATTATTTACACTAATTTAAGGGATGGGTAATCTGAAAACAAAAATGTGTATATACTATGAAGGACTTCCTCAAAGATTTGTTCCTGCCTGATGGTTTTATTTTGAAATTTGTACACCAAGTCTTTTGTTATCCTCTTTTTATTTTATTTCTTAGCTTTTAAAACAAATTAGCAAGAGGAAGAAAGAGGAGGGGGAGAAACTGTGCAAAACACAAGAATGTTACAGTCGGCAATGTGATGAAAGCTTGTAGTTTCATACTGAGGTTTTGATTGTGCATCTATTTTTTGTTGTTGCTGTTTTCTTCTCCTTTGTCTTCATACCTAGCAAATAATTACTGACCAGCAAATGTGCTTATGGTACCATCTTAGGAAATTTGATATAAGGAATTCTATAAGGAAAAAAACATTACCAGTATACGGAGCTCGTTTAGAAGACAGTTACAGACAGCCGCAGAAATAATAGTAGCTTACATTTACGGAGCACTCACAATTTGCCAATCACTCTTCTAAGTGCTTCATGTAGTATTAGCTCATTTAATCCTCTCAACAACTGTGTGAGATCGGTACTATTATCCGTATTTTATAAATGAGAAAACTGAGGCACAAGGAGATTAAATTATTCATCTACAGTCACATAGATGACCGGAACCATCATTTGAACCCAGCCAGTGTGAATCCAGAATAAAAAAATAAAACAAGTATAACCAGAATGAAACTAATATTGTTCTTTTTAGATTTCCTAAACTTACTATCACCACCAGTGAATTCTGCGTGGTGATTAATATTGAACTTATAAGAATAGAAGAGGAATTGTTTAGTGTAGAGAGATGGTGAAAGAGAGTGAAAAAATGAAGATGCTGGCAAAAGCACCTGCAGTGGGTTCCGAGATAAGGATTCTAGGAGGTAGGTGTGGAAATACCTTCTGTTGTGTGTTCAGCTGGGCCTCAGTCTAGACTGGTGGGCAGCGATGCATAGTGGATCAAGGAATGTGGCTGCTGACTGATTTTTGTCACTCACTGCACTGCTTTCCTGCTCCTCAAGCTGAGATAGATAATACCGACAGCTCACTTTGAGTTCCCATCCATCTGAAGCACTTCTAGATTTGCAGCTCACGTTACCTTCTGCAGAGCCAGAATGTGTCCTCTTTTTTTTCAGATCTCTTACCACCTCAGAACATTCAGGACAGGCCCACCATCTTTTATCTAAACCCAAGGGACCAGGTATGTTTAGAAATTCAAAATTTTATAGATTTTAGAAAGGTAAAATGGTATGTATCTCATACATTGTATAATATTTCCAGTGGGGTCTGGATCAACACCCCATAAATAAATATTATCATATTTCCACCACAAAAATGTATGTATCATCACGCTAAGTGAGACAAAGTATGACTGTCCTCAGCTACATGTTAAGAAGGTCAGATTTTGCCACCAAATGAATTTTTGTGCCAAATTTATGGGAAAAACTTTTGGTTGCAGGGCTTTTGGGATTTTGGAATTGAGGATGGGGAATGTGAACTGTATCATCACCAGTTCCTTCCGCTCTAATCAGAGGGATGTGCGTGAAGGTGCTGACAAAGCTATTCCTACATTTTCTCCACTGGCCAGGAAGGGGTCTGATGTGGGCTGAGCCTGAAGGACCTCAGTCCCATCTTCTCGTTCCAGGTTTTAGTTGGGAAGGCAGGCAGTCAGGAAATAGAGTCGATCCCTACACACTCCACATTCCCTGCGGGTCTGGTGGACAAAGAGTAATAAAGAAAATACAAACTCAGGAAAGACAAAATTCAGTTCTTTTTTTTTTTTCTTTCATTTGAAAGACTTATTTACACTACTTAGAAAAACCTCTCCCCTTCTCTTGGGAGTCACTTAGCTTAGCTTGGAGGACCACAGATTAAAGTACAATATAGTGAGTATTATTAAAAACAACCTGTAAAAATGCATTATCCTGAAGATTTAGCAGCTAATTTTCTGTTGCCTCTACTTCTTACATCATTTTTTTTTCTCTCAGTATATAACCTTCTTTAAATTTTATGTCCTGTTCTCAGATTCCTCCTGGGTTTAATGACTAATCTCTATTTGTGTTGCTCTGGTGAAGCCTATAGAAGGAAAATCATAAATTAATGGCATATGTTTGTAGCTATAAACAAGGGACAGACTCAGAAATATACAAACATGCCAAGTACCCTATTTCCTATAGCTGCAACGCTCAACACCCAATTAACCTTAGATTTACAAGTCTAATCAAACGGCCCAGTCCGTTTCCATTGAAAAGCTGTGCACTGTGTATAACCTTTCACCTGACCTAAATCTCTAGTAAACCCTGGGAAGCAAACTCCTTTGTGGAGCTAGTCACTCTGTTGGATAAAGCCAGTGTCCCCTTTGAAGGCCCTGAGTTACCGTTTCCTGCATTGCAAGACGTAGTTTGCAAAGGGACGGCCTGTGGTACTTTATGTAGGGGGACAGTCCTGACTGCTGACACAGGCTGTGTTCTGTGACAGTAGGACTGTGCTGAGCCACTTACACTTTGCCCCCAGGTCTTCTTTACAAATACAGTATGATTTTGGAAGATAATAATACCAAATATTTATTTACCACCTCTCTG